GGGTACCAACCGGATACAGCCGCTAATGAGTACCGTAATTATGAAAATTAACTTTATACATTCACTAGATGGGACAATATTATATTTTTCCAAACTTTTGATGGAAATTTTGACAAATAACAATCTATAATATGTAGGTAGTAGGTAGATCTGGCGGTGGGCGGTGTGAGTCCTAACTCACCCTCGATACGTTGGAACGGTTAGTATATATTACTTAGAGGTGAGATATTTTCCCGCAACAAAAAGTATTCTATATGTTAACCAGAATAACTAGCTATCATCAGACCAAATATATAGTTTTTAGAATTTTTGTCTGTCTGTCTGGGAACGCATCACGAGAAAACCAGTAGACAGATTAAATTTGGTATGATGATAGCTGGTTATCCGGGTCAACATATAGGATTTTTTACCGCGGGAAAACATTTCATTTCTGAGAAAAAATACAAAAACTGCAATGTAAGAGTATACTTATATGTAAAACCTAAGAATTTGGTTTTTGGTCATCTGAACGCGGGTGGAGCCGCGGGCAATGCTAGTAAATGTATAATAACTGTTATTTTATTATTATAGAATTTCGAAGTTTTCTTACCTTTTGTTCTCAGGGCTGAAGCATTTTATTCTAGAACTGCTAGTAGAGTTTGTGTTTAAATTATGTTGCTTGTATTATACTAAAAAAAAACACTAATTATGTAAGAAAAATATAAAAAACGTTTATTTTTGTATGTGAGTGTCTATGTATGTATGTATGTACATCTGTATATATATATATATATATATATATATATATATATATATATATATATTGATGTTTGTACCTACACCGCACCTCATTATTATTTCTTTCTCACGCTCGAGGGTTTTTGGAAGAGATCTCTTAAAGAGTAAGTCATCCTTTGTACACAATTATATATTTACTGTTTTTATATTATGTTTTTTGTGATACACGAATAAATAAATAAATAAATAAAATAAAATATATTATTATGTTTAGATACTATAAATCTCATTTTATAATAATGATTATGAAAATGATTATCTTGTAGATTATAAAAAAAATAACAAAAATATTTTTTTTAAATAAGCTGTTATATCATATAAATTGTGTATTGTAATAAATTCATGGGTATGATTTAATTTAAAGATTTTTTTAATTTTTTAGTTATTTATTCTCAGCAAACCCTTTTACTTGATATCCATATTATCATGAGAGTGCATAAAAAAATTTCCGCCATCTTTGAGAGTCCGCCATCTTGGATTTATATATATATTGAATGACGTCACATATCTAACCATGCATTGTCATCCAAACTAAACTCGTATGCAAAATTTCATCTCAATCAATAACTGTTTTAAAATTCAGTTCCAAGATTTGACTCGAACAAACATACATACTAACATTTCAAGTTCAATAAAAGCTTGTAAAAAAAACAAAATCTTCTTTTTCTTGTATATTTAAAGTATTTTTTCTACTGTCGCATCTAGATACTATAAATCTCATTTTATAATGATCATGTAAAACGCGGAGCTTATGAAAATGTGATTAATATCGAAATTGGGGTTAACTCATAAATATTTGTGAAGCAAATGAGTTATATTTGTTTTAAAGGAAATTGATTTCCGAAAAATAAAATAAATAACTTTTTTTTTACTTAAAACCAATTTTTATATCATATTTTATTGTTCAAACAGTAAATTATTAAAAAAAAATAGAAACAAAAAAAATATGACTTATTATAATTATAATGCTACTTCATTATTTTTTGTAAATTAATTTTACCGCAAGAAATATACAGTACTTAGTTATAATACTTTCAATAAATGTATTGTTAAATTTTTTTTTTTACTATTAAATTTTTTTGTCTTTGACGTTCCGAGTGTTTTACAGCAAAAATAATCACAAAAATTTTCGATATCTCAAAAGTCTTATTTATTACAGATAAAAAGAAAGAACAAGACATATTAATACGCAGGCAAAGCCGGGCAACTCTAGTTAAGAAATAAGTTATGATTCTTCATACATACCATTAAAGATATTGTATGAATATCTGTACTGCTCCGAATATCTTTGTTTTGGGAAACAACAGCGCATTAGCATGCAAATGAACATTTCCTCGAAACTTTGAATACAGATTAAGTACATAGAAATTAATGTTTATCTCTACATTTTGTAATATTATTGTATTATTGTATAATAATCTAAATATATTATTATTTGTTTAAGTATAAAAAGTTTAAAAATTCAGAAAGAGTGAATAAAATGAGATGGAGATATAGTTTACTAGCGATTCACCCTCGCTTCGCTCGGATTCAACCCGTGGTACGTACATATTTGGTACGTTTTAACGGTTAGTAAAGATAGACTATATATAGAAAAGTAAGTTACTTAAAAAAATTTAAAAAATATATCCCTTACTTGAGAAATAATCGATTCCCCACACAAACTTTTACCCTCTTTTTACTTCCCTAAAGGATGAGTATAATTTCCGGAATAAAAAATATTTTTTTTTCTTCCCAGGATCTCAAAATATCTATATTATACGAAATTTTATTTAAATCGGTTTAGCGGGTTAAGCGTGAAAAGGTGACAGACAGACAGTCAGACAAACGGTGTTACTTTCGCATTTCTAATATTAGTATGGATTATGCTAAATCTATACTTGAAAAGTTTGTATTTTTGTTTGTTCAAAGACACTAATATCTCGAACTACGAGTACCAGTCCCAATTTGACAAGTTCTCTTAAATAAATTTTAAAACGTATTATTGAGAAAGGAAATAAACTATTTAAAATCACGTTAATCAAAAAAAACCCTAAACAAACTTTCTACATTAACACCAATGATATATAAATTGTATAAATATTACATATTACTTCATAACCAACATACTATTATTGTACCATTACAAGCGACTCACCCTCGCTCTGCTCGGGTTCATTCCTACGATATGTTTTAACGTTTAGCTCAGAGATGAGATATTATCCCACAATAAAAAGTATTCTATATATAGACCCGGATAACCAGCTATCATCATACCAAATGTCATCAAAATCTGTTGAGTAATTTTTTCGTGATGCTTTCACAGACAGACAGTAGAAAAAAATCCAAAAACTATAGAGTCGGTTTCTCTATCGATAATCCCTCCACGACCGCGGACACGCCGGCGTTACAGTTAACAATACTTAGAAATTTACCTGGAGGTGTTAATAATGTCTATTTCAATAAGATTTTCCAAAAAAATATTTAATGTACAGATTCGGCTTAGTTACAATTTTATTATATGTATAGATAGATTATTTTATGTTGGACTTGATCCTGAAAATTTCTCATAGGGGCCTATTACTTTAACACTTGATATTACATAATGTAACATTACGCAATAACAATTTTTATTTATATTAACGACTCTCATTTTGTTTATAAATGAGTTCCAATGGAGTGCGAAATGTGTAACGGAGTCAATATATCAGTTGTTTTGCAGCCCAGTTGAATTGACAATTAACTTTAAAAGCTTATATTTTCAATGAAAATAGCCATTTTATTATGAATTTATATTTAATTTATATTGTAGTAGTGCTTGCCAGTAATTGAAATTCGACGATAATTTTTTTTTATTGACAACACTAAAGCTTATCAATAGCTACTAAAAAAAAGAAGAAACGATTGACATAAAGGAGAGAAAAAGGTACTGGACTGTTTTGTCTTTGCCTATTTATATATAGATAATGAAAAATCTTTTATTTTATTGTAGCTGTATCTTTTATTTCATTACTATATAGGAATTAGGGGGTGTGAGTTCAATTTATCGGCTGTAAACCTTTTTTGGCAGATTTTTTCATTATTGAATAAATGATGTTCCTAGAATGCCAATCAAATTAATAACTTTACATATCTTTTTATATTCAAATGGCTAATTATATTTATTTGACAGACATAGCACCATGGAACTTAAAAATATTTTCTAATAATATTACTTACATCAATTATTTGGAAAACCTTTAATATTACCTGTCTAAATCCTTTTATAAAACTGATGATCGATAGCCAAACATGGCATATATCTAAAACACTAGATATATGAAAAAGGGCAAAGATGACGTATGGCTTTCAGATTGTAATGACAATTTCATTACAGAAAATTTTTATCTAAATTTTCATCAAACATGTTTTCTTAATATATGTGTTATTGTAGAAATAATCCATTTCTGGTACCAAAAATATTTGAATTTTCTGTATATACGTTAATTTTGTCTAAGTATTTAGATATTCTAGGAAGATTCTATGGAGTATCTTATTCAAAAAAATTACTTTTTTTTTCTATCTCCATTTTTCCTTCACGATTAATCTTATGTAATATTTTTATTTCTATGTACCGAATAAAATGTCTCTATCAATTGATTTTATTTTTAGTGAAAGGGCTAAAATTAAATAAGTAAAATTAAAAAACATACATACAGACGGCACAATAATAAATAAAAATATATACAGTGTATAATAGAGGAGTTTATTTTCTGTAAATTGTAAACCGAATATGTTTGATATTGTTACGAACTAGTTTTTTTGAGATCGGAAATTAAAGCATATCACTCGCACTACAGATTTATTATTTCTTTAGCTTTACGTCAGTTTTGACAGATCGCGTACACTCGAGTACACGAACAGTTTTGGCTTAATTCTGTCACCATTTTCCACTACAAGTTACACTTGCACTATCACTTTAGTTTTCTTAAATGTTTACTTTTTCGCTTCAACTTTAAAGCTAGAAGAAGAAGTAAAGGAATTTGAAGCTTATTAGCTACAAACTTTAATTTTTTGACTTACCACACTTTTCAAACTACCACTTCAATTTAAAAAGCTATTTTTACATTATTGAGTCTATTAAGAAAGGATTATTATTAATTATCACACTACGACCCTTACAATCGGAATCTTAATTAAAGCTAGTTGGAAATAAAACCACAAGTCATGAATTCATTGAACATTTTATTTCATCTGTTCATCTACAATTTTTTATTAAGAGTTGGTTTCCAGGATATATCATTTAAGCCATGAAAGTGCCTCTTCAAGTTCTGACCATCCGCCCATTTCGAATCAAGATAACTATCATCATCATCTTGTTCCAACTTTTTCCACTCCTCCTGCTTCCTATATGCTTGTAGCATCAGCTGCTTTCTCTCATCTTCAGTGAGAATTGGTTCTCTACCTGGTGCACTTTCGGAGGACGAACACAGCTTCACTGTTACTTTACTTTTATCATTTTTACCTGAAGTTAAAATTTTGCGGATAAATGAACAAAAAAAAATTATGATGCAACAAAAATATATATAAATATGTCATGTCAAAATTGAGATGACAATGCTAATTATGGATGTACAGAAAAATAGCCTATTTTATCTCACATATTCCTTGATTTGCTACAATTGTTTAAAAACCAATAATCAATAGTAGTAAATCTAGGGATAAATTAACACAATTATCATCAACTTTTTACACCTTTCACAATATGAAGTAGTACATAATTAATATAAAGTATAAAATAAGTACATATGATTAAAGTGTACAATATTTAAAAAATTAAATTAAAAAAATAATGATATGTAGGTCTTTACTTACCTAAATGATCACTCAACTGGTTACCGGCTAGTAATTTTTTGCCACACGCCCAAAGACACGCTCTAGATGGATCTATGACCTCATTAGCCGCTTGAGTTCCAGAAAGATCTTCAACGTTATCCAACTCCATCCTAACAGGGTCGTGAGGCGGCAGACCTGCTGGGAAAACGATTTTCGTAGCCCCTCGTAGCTCTTCAAGAGCTCTGGATACGTCTTTTTGGGTCAAGCACTTGCGTAGGTCCACCTAGAAATATTACGGTTCATTAACATGTACATTTGGGTTAATCATCTATAAATATACATAATGGAATCAAGATTCTATTATTAACACTTTTTAATAAGCTTTTGATTAAGAGATAGAAATAATTATATATTACTTTAAAAGAAGTCGATGGGCCGCAATATCTTTTTTTTTTTGCAAAGGGGAAATCACACTCGCTAATAAAATGACAATATCTAAGCGTTACCTATCTTCTATCATTACCATATTTTATTTTTTACTTCCTGTAGACAAATAGAGTCAAGTGTCTAAGAGCTATGCCTTAAACAAAAATAATGCAACGAGAAACTTCCCGCTTCACCTCTTAATTGGCAAATTAGATATACTTCGAAGGTGATGCCGCAAGAAGTTCCTAGTATTCATACATTTTATTTTAGCGAAAAATACTATATAAATGTAGCCCAATTAAGTGAAATCTAGCTTCGGTTTTAAAATATCAAAAAAGTTACGCTATGCGACGAACAAAATTTAATTGGCTGTCACGGTTATAAAATTTTATACGTTACTATTTAGGTTTTTGGCTCAAACAAACTTAACAAGATTTATAAGGTGAATTGCGGTTCGAGCGCAACTGAGCCAAATATGTAATACTTTTGGCAAAGAAAGTTCTGAGATAAAAAATTGCTTGATGATAAGTTTTATTAAATAGAGCAAATTTGTCAGACATTTGGCAAATGCCTCGAACATCTTTTAAGATAATTGCAACGTCAAAATGAATCGCGCAAAACGAAAATGTTGATGCAGTCTTTTTGCTTTACGCCAATTGCCAGTCATCAATTCCTTAAAATAGTGTTTGCAGAACTACGGAACTTATCGGATTTAACTAACGATTTTACATAACTAATAAGTTATTTTATATAACAAGTCAAAATGATATGAATTTTTAGTACATTCTGTTGTTAAAGAATTTAGGGTAATTTCAATCAATTTTAAAGAAGAGTCAGATATACCTCTTATTTTACATTTGCATTACCAGTAAGTACGTGATAATAATATTATAATATGATGAAAATTTTTACTGAATGTCACTGGATGACTCAATATTGTTTAACGATGTAGAATAAAAATATTTAATATTTGACATTATTTAAATGGCTATAGATTATATTTGTATCGGCTCAAACGGGCATGGTAAAAAAACAGTTACTATTCAGAGACATAGCAAAGCAAAGAAAAAGATTACAATATGAAATTCTCTTACATGCTTCTTGCTAATAAATTCCTTTGCAGTTTCTGCGGCTTTTTTCAACACTTCTTGAAGATTTGGTGGTGGAGCTAAACCACAACGACGACCCATCTCATCCTTGTTCACGATATATCCGGATGGAGCGCAACGTTTAGCCCATGGGTCCTCTAGCTTGAGATCTTTTATCTGAATATTAATAATATAAATATTATTAATTATTATCGATTAGTAATTTTTTGAACAATATAAATAAATAATATGCTCTCAACCGATTTCAGCCACACATATTATACACATATTATAGTGCACAAGTATGCGCGCAAAAATATGTGCACGTACTCTGGTGGGATGACAACTCGACACGACCGGTAATAGTTAAAGCTTTACCTGCTTTCCAAGGCACGGGGATGAAACACCGCGAACTTATGAATTCCAGCGTGAGATTTTTTTGACAGAAGTAATCCGTAATTAAGAATAGAGTATTTTATAATATAACTAGGGATTATTGATTGCTTCCCAATACAAACTTTGATCCCCATTTTTACCCCCTTAAGGGATGATTTCCGGAATAAAAAGTGTTTCAAACTACCATCTTACCAAATTTCATCTAAATCGGTTTAGTAAATCCAGAGATTACCCCCTACAACGTCAGAAACTCACAACATCACAAACTCACAAACTTTACCTCTTTATAATATTAGTATAGATAGATCAAATAGTGTATGATATTACCTGTTCCTCCGTCAGTCCTTGCATTTCTAGTGGCAGATATGTACCATGGTTTTTTAGTTCCTCCATTTCATAGCAAATTCTTGTAACTTTCAACCGTCCATTAAAAATAGCTACGATATCGTTAACGACTTCACTAACGGTGTTATTAACATTGGTTTCATATAAAAACTGGTTTTCATCACCCCTTTTTACGTGGAGAATAACCATTTTAGCTTTTTGCTATCAGAATTTTTGATCGCAAACACTAGGTTAGCTATTGAATAAATATCCGTTGCTATTGATTCAGTTTCCATAGCAACGTTTAGTTTTGACTGAGGCCTATTTTTTTATGCTTTCGCGAAAATTGAAATATAGTTTTTTCCTACAAGGCCTATATTGTAAAAATGTTGTAATAAGCTGTAAAAATAGACAAAAATGGAAAGATCTCCTTTAATTTTTTAGTAATTTTAGAAAAAACTAATAGAAGTACTTATTTATTTAAGGGGAAATTATAATAATAACTTATACTATATTTTTGTGATTTTGACTAAAATTCCAACAAGATTTTTGGTATTGATAAGATATTTTGACTTGAACCTCAGACGGTATGATTTAACTAGCAACTCACCCTCGCTTTGCTCGGGTTCGTTCTTAACTTGATTCCCGAAACAAACTTTCATCCCCCTTTTCACCCCCTTAAAAGATGATTTCCGAGATAAAAAGTATCCCATGTCTTCCCAGGGTTTCAAACTATCTTTTTACCAAATTTCATCTAAATCAGTACAGTAGATCCAGAGATTACCCCCTACAACGTCACAAACTCACAAACTTTACCTCTTTATAATATTAGTATATACGAGTAATTATGTTATATGCTAGTCACTATACCAAAGAGTCGACAACAATATAAATTATACCATGTCTTTATATATAAAATTCCAGTATGTTTGTTCGTACTTCCTTTTCTAAATGACTCGACCGGTTTTGATGATTTTTTGTACTTATGAGGTACTTATGGTCACCTAGATAGTTCTCAGCTATAACTGGATCCTCTAGATAGCGCAGTTGTTGAGACCCTGAAAAATTATTCGTCAATAAAGACCACAAATAAAATTAATACTTGAACAGGACAAGTTTTGTAGAGTTTGCTAATTTCTATATAAAATTTCAACCAGTAATATAATTGGTGCTATTTATTTTATCTATTGAAAGCATTTAAATGAGAAAATAAGAAAGCGAAATAAGTAGAACGAGCCACCTGCAGAGTTCTCAGATACAGGTGCAGAATATAGATCTCAACTTAAAGTTTCGAATGGTCCAAGAACGATAGACTTAGCAAATAATCTTACGTGCTCTTGAAACTTTGTGTAATGTAAAAGGTTTAAAGTTTTTAACGCTAAAGTTTAAATAAAGTATTTGCCTATTTTTTGTTTCAAGTGTTCTTGAAACTCGCTTCTTTATATAAAATTTGAAACAAATAATAAAAAATTAATTATTTCAGTTTTATATTAATTTATTTTTAATGTTTACATACAAAAAGACAGTGCTATGATATTTTTTATACTTTTACAAAAATCTGAAGTGATATTGTATTAGCCTATGTCTGAACCTACTTTTATGAAATATCCTAAAAAAATATTAAATTGTGCCTAGAACGTTATACTTTTTTTTTGAAAAAAATGAGCTTCAAGCTTATTAATACTTCTTCATCTTCTTCCTGCCCATTTCTTAAATTACTTGGGGCTGGCGCAGTACATCTACCATACTGCTAATCGATATCAAGCTGAAGCTAGAGAAAGAAGAAATACAAAATGTTAAATGTAAATTTACTAACAAATATATACATTCATATATAGATACATATATACATACATATATAGTTACAACACTTACAACAATTGCTTACTTTTTTCCTTCTTTTTGTTCTCTTTTTCTTCTATCTATGCTAGAAGTAATTATTCTCATTTTTTTCCATCTTTTCTAGTCACTTTTTACCATTCTCTATGAAACAAACCATTTTCTTTATTTTTAGTGTCATTTATTATTTACAAGAATAACATCATATGATTATAAATATACATTTATTACATGAAAATTTCAATCGTATTTTTTGAAGAACATCTATTACAAATTCAATCACAGTTATTTACTTTCATTTTGGTTTTTTCTATAGAAATATTGAAAAAAAATTGAAATACGCAACGCAACGTACATATTATGAATGGAAGGACTCCTCTGTATTCAGATATTTCGGTAAAGAGTAAATTGAATGCGATGACTAGTGCACAAAATTTGGTAAAATTTTAATATATTCATCGCTATCAAGCTAGCTGCTTTATTTTTAGTTTTTATACAGAAATTAAAAAAAAGATTTCATTGTCTTTGACGACACGTTTGGCTCAGTTTGCGGTGACCCTACTTGCTGTGCCAGCGGTCGCGGGTTCGATTCCTGCTGGGAGCATTCATTTGGGATGAGCACGAATGTTTGTACTCAGGTCATGGGTATTTTTATATTTATAATATTTATGTATTTGAAGTTCAACTATCTGGTATCCATTACACAAGCCTCGTAGCTTACCATAGAACTAGATGATGCTGTGTGTTAAGCGTCCTAATATATTGTATAATTAATCGAGTAATTCTGAAAATAGGCACATTATAGTACCTTATTTATAAATCTTTCTCGCGTACATTTGATATAAAACTAATAAAACTATTTTTGGTTTTATTTAGATTTTTTGCTCACGACGTTTTCTCGTTAAATGAACTGCTGAACCAATTCTGATAAATTTTAGTATAGAGATAAATTGGATTTTAGAGAAGAACATATGGTAAATAAAAAATGAACGAGGTAAAATGGGAGATGAAAAGTATATGAAAATTCATATTTATATTTTTGGTAAGAAATTAGTGTTTTAGCGTCGGAAGGTTCAAGAGCGACAAACATAGGTATGTTTATACTACCAATGCATGAAACCGATCGAAGCGAGGGTACGTCACTAGTTTTGCACAGAACTAGATAAATACGCACAGTGCATAGTCAGGACTTAAGCAAAGCCATAGTATGTAGTTAACTATAAGTAGTATTTAAAATGCATATAATGTCTTTCTGACTAATCCCGGCCATGGCAGCCAATCTCATTGAGACTAGCCAACTGCGCAGGAGATTTTATAGTGCACAAGTGTACGTGCAGACACAAGTGCACTCTCTATCCCTATCACTCTCATACTCCGGTGGGATGACCACTCGTCACGACCAGTGAGAGTTAAGGCGCAGGACCGACGGCTTTACGTGCTCTCCGAAGCACGGGGGTGAAACACCGCCATCTTCCCAACTCCGGGCTGTTACTGAGAATATCTTAACAACAAAACTCAGTAACTAAAGTCGGTCCGAACAGAGACTCGAATCAGGACCTCCGGATTTGTAACCGTATATGCTAGCCACTAGACCACCAAGGCAGTTAAAGTTAAAGATATTTTGATTTAGTTAAAGTTATAACGCATATAAATAGTATACGATATACGATAACATCGGACCCCGCCTATCGCTTGATCCACTGTCGCATCACACGGACCACTGAGCACTTGCGGTACATTAGGTACAAAGGTTCTTCGAATGAGGATGGCAATTTATAAAATATTGTATTGAATTGATGAACTTCGAGAGTCGTTGAGTTGTTATATGAATTCTTTATAATAATGTTAGAACGATCTACAATTTTTCATATCTAGAACAAACCTTTTTCTTTTATTGAGTTCTTGCGGCTATAGAATATCAAGACTACCTTTACATAGGTAATAGTTAAATGTGACGGGATGAAAGACGGTTTTTACGAATGGGGTGAATTCATAAAGGGTTTTCACGAATCAGGCGTATGTTTATTATTATATTATAAACTATTGTAGGTAGATATTAAATATTTTTTTCAATAAGTAAGCTGTAATATGACATATGACAATATCTTGCAAAATTCAACAAAATGTTCCACTCTTTAGAGAATCGAATCGACCGGAAATTTTGGAGAATCTTATTGAAATAACATTATTATCGATACATAGTCCGAAACTATAGTTTTGAGAATTTTTGTCAGTCTGTCTGTCTGTTACCACATCACGGAAAAATCACTGGCGGGATTTTGATGTAATTTTGTATTGTGATAGTTGGTTATCCGGGTCAACATATAGGATACATTTTACCGCGGGAAAATGTCTCATTTCTGAGAAAAAATACAAAAACTGCAATGTAAGAGTATACTAATATGTAAAACTAAGAATTTGGTTTTTGGTCATCTGAACGCGGGCAGAGCCGCGGCCAATGCTAGTAAAATATAAATATAAACAGATAAATATATTAAATATGTTGGGACATTAACACACAGCACCATCTAGTTCCATGGTAAGCTACGAGGCTCGTGTTATGGATACCAGATAGTTGATACACTACACATATATAACTTTAAATAGATACATATTGTAAATAGAATGCAAAACAGACATGCAAACTTCCTTACGATAATCTTCTCCATTACGCAAGCCAGAATCATGTTAAAAACGAATCGACGAAAAATATGAGAATATAATAACAAAACCCGGAGGTTACCTTGCATCGCTTGTTTTCCCAAGCAAGTGCGTTGCCATTGTGCTACCACTACAAACAAAAGCTAAAAATAATTTTAACTTTTTAGTTAAAAAACCATTATTAAAATTATATATATATATATATATATATATATATATATATATATATATATATATATATATATATATATATATATTAGAATATATTTTATTAGGAATATTAATTAGGCACTTTATTACTAGCTTAGTGCTTTACTTCGTAGATATTTCTATTTAAACTGTAGATAAAAAATACTTCATCTTCTTTAGATCATAAATTATTATATTATTATATTATAGATAGTTATTATTTTATTCTCTCCGTTTGAGCCTAGCTTTTAAACATATAAAATCTTCAAAAAGTTTTAAATGAAACTATCTTTTCGGATTTTTTCGCGGATTTATTTTGGATTTTTGGTTCCCGACATTTCAAATGCTTTACAGCAATCATGGTCAAGGGAGAGACGTCTAAACCCTTAGTCTCTCTAATCTAGAAAGTATTCTCTTCAGAAAGTTTTAGGGCACTGATTGTAAGCTTAATTGACGACATGCTTGGCTCAGTTTGTAGTGACCCTACTTGCTGCGCCAGCGGTCGCGGATTCGAGTCCCGCTGGGGGCATTCGTTTGTGTGATGAGCACAAATGTTTGTACTCTAGTCATGGGTGTTTATATTTATAATATGTATGTATTTAAAGTTATAATGTATCAACTATCTGGTATCCGTAACATAAGCCTCGTAGCTAACCATGGAACTAGATGGTGCTGTGTGTTAATGTCCTGACATATTTATTTATTATTTATTTTCGTAAATTTTATTTTAATATAGAGTAACAAATTAAAACACACCGTATACATATAAAATCCTTATTTACGAAGCTCATTCATTTTAAACGAAAGAAAAATGTGCTTATTTATTAAATTTCCATTTAAATTACAAACAATATATTGTTTTATTCAAAAACTCAGTACCGAACTGTCGACAACATTCGCCTATAAATTTGAAACGCGTGTATCTCTTGTTAAACCAATACATTTCGAAACCATGAAAACATTAAACTGGGAACGACAGCTTTATCGATATTTTCTTTAGCTCGGATAGTGCATACGTTGTGATAAAGGAAAATTTGCTCGACAATATTTTGAATTTGCAGTCCATTTTGTATGTAATCTATTTTTAATAGAACTTATTGCTATTCTATTCACAATGAACAGTTTTCTGAGAGGAAAATTTAATATGTTTATTTAATACTAGCGATGTTATGATTTGATTATGGATTAATCTATACATATAATAAAATTGTAACTGAGTCGAATCTGTATATTAAATATTTTTTGGAAAATCTAATTGAAATAGACATTATTATCGATACAGAGTTCGAATCTATAGTTTTTAGAATTTTTGTATGTCTGTCTGTTACTGCATCACGAGAAAACCACTGGACAGATTTTGATGAAATTTGGTATGATGATAGCTGGTTATCCGGGTCAACATATAGAATACTTTTTACCGCGGGAAAATGTCTCAATTCTGAGAAAAAATACAAAAACTGTATTGTAAGACTATACTAATTTATGTAAAAGCTAAGAATTTGGTTCGGTTATTTTTACTTTGTTTTTTTTTTGTATTTATTCTAGATTTTTTTAAAGAAAATTGTATCTGTGGCCAAAAACTCCGAGCGAAGCTCGGTCACCTTGATACTCTTTTTACATTAAACAAGCAATTCTTGTATATATTTTATAATTTTATTTCGCGTATCTCGGAAACGGCTGTAACGATTTGTATCAAGTTTTGTATTTAGAAAAGGTTTTTAAGTATCTTTTCTGAAATAACGCCACACGAAGGTCGGTCCCTCGGGTACTTGGGAATTATAAATGCTAAATTGAGAATGAATTAAAATATTTCCATACTACTTTTTACTCCTGTATCAGTTAAGTGGTCTCGTGGGATATTTAACTTTTGGAAAAACTTCTAGTGAAATGTGAAAATCGTATGTAATTCTCGTGTCTATATTCATGCTTTTCCCTGTACAATTGATAGAACACTAATTGTGCAGTTCATTTTACAGAAATATATTATAATTAAAATACGACTCGTTTGGCTCAGTTTGTAGTGACCATACTTGCATTGCCAGCGGTCGCGGGTTCATGTCCAGCTGGGGGCATTCATTTGTGTGATGAGCACGAATGTTTGTACTCCGGTCATGGGTGTTTATATTTATAATATGTATATGTATATACTTGAAGTTATATATGTATAGTGTATCAACTATCTGGTATCCATAACACAAGCCTCGTAGCTTACGTAGAACTAGATGGCGCTGTGTGTTATAAAAAAATAAATAAAATGCTTCATGAAATTGAAGCCCCGATTTTAATTGTTGGTCAAGTGGCTAATATGCAAAACTACTGGTCTAAATATCTTGGCTTTGAGTCCCATGTCCGGTCGATAAATATAATTAAATCTATTTATATTATAGTAAAATTTTAACTGAGCCAGATCTGTACATATTTTTTTTTTTTTGGAAAATCTTATTGAAATAGTCATTGTTATCGATACAGAGGCTAAATCTAATTTTTTTTAAATTTATATCTGTCTGTCTGAAAACGCATCACGAAAAAACCACTGGCAATTTTTTTTAAAAATTGGGTAGGATGATGGCTGGTCATGTCTGAGAAATCTATAGTTAAAAAGTAACTAAGGACGAATCCGAGCTGAGCGAGGGTGATTCGCTAGTATAATATCTGTTTAAGTAATGAGTAACATTTATAAGTAAACTTAGTGATTACTCTCCTTTTTATAAATTCCCCAAATTTTAAACTATTTTAATTAAAAATCTTATCTATTTTGTTACAGATCCCCGGACGGTGTGCGCACAGACACGGCCATGACATATCTACCGAACTACCAGAAGTTCTAGATGCACACCATGACAACAGTACTCACCATGAAAAGGTAATCTTTTTATACGACTACTGTTATATCCGTAAAAGTTTAACGGCTGGACAGATTTTTATGATATCTAGTACATAGGATAGGCAGCTAGAAACGCGCTCAGGAAAAGTAAGGGTAACTGCTAGTACTTACATTTACATATAGTACCTGGGCGACCGAGCTTCGCTCAGAGTTTTTGGCCAAAAGTACAATTTTCTTTAAAAAAACTAAACACTTGAATAAACGCAAAAGTAAAAACTTTGTATCCGACAGGGATTCGATCCCGGACACCGGTGATTGTCAATTTTGTGCATTACCCGAGCATGAGCAATTATCGACCATATTTTTAAGCGCGAAAGAAAACCGCATGAAAACTTGAAAATTCGCGTTTTCCCAAACATAAAGTTAATCTACTCGTAGATCGACTTTTTGTTCCCGAAAACCTCCACATACCAAATTTCAGCGAAATCGTTAGAGCCGTTTCCGAGACCTCCGGTATTAATAAATAAGCGTCGTGGTCAAGCGGCATAGGCTCAAGATTGTAAATCATAGGTATCCGGGTTCGAATCCCAGTCTGACACAAAGTTTTTACTTTTGTTTTTTTTTGTATTTATTCAAGTTTTTAGTTTTTTTTTAATGTAAAAAATACGATATAACAAAAAATAACTCCGAGCAAAGCTCGGTCGCCCAGGTACTAACTTTAAATACATACATACAATATAAGTATTATAAATATAAACCACCCATGATTGGAGTACAAACATTCGTGCTCATCACACAAATGAATGCCACTCCGTAGTCACTACAAACTGACCCAAACGTATTATCTAACTATAATAAACTTTGCTTAAGTTTAACTTATAACAGTTTAAAGAAAATCCGATTAAGTTATTCAGAAATACTAGATAACGCGAGGCTTCGGCCTACTCCATAAAGCTTACAGTACTTAGAAAATAAGTGGATAATATTTCGTCAGCGAGAAATAGTTTTCGCTATATTCATTATAGAAACCTCACCTTCAATTCCCTCGAGAGGTGTTTATTTATATAGTCGATAAGACTGTCGATTCTAGCGAGCTGAGAGACTTATAACGAAAAGTGGAACGTGATTATTAAATATTTTCCTATCTGTCAAAAATGAGCTTTAAATATTAATAATTAATAAAATTTTATTACGTAAATATTCTATTAAAAATAAATAGTCTATACTAATATAATAAAGAGGTAAAGTTTGTGAGTTCATGAGTTTGTGACGTTGTAGGGGGTATTCTCTGGATCTACTGAACTGATTTAGATAAAATTTGGTAAGAAGATAGTTTGAGACCGAGACCCTGGAAAGGATAAAGGATACTTTTTATCCCGAAAATCATACCTTAAGGGGATGCAAATGAGGATGAAAGTTTGTATAGGGAATCAACATAGTATAAAATAAATTCGTTATTTGTATCTGTTTAAGCATTTAGTTCTTTTTATCTACGCAACAGATTTTGATACAGTTTTTCTTTACTGTAGATGTATTCTTCTAGGGTCTTTGATGTAGTAATATTCTTTCGGAAGGTTTAATTGTACAATACATATATCCATAGAAGTGAGAAAAGTCAACGTTTTATAATGAATTTGTCAAGCGAATCAGATATGGGTCGTAATATAATATAGACAAAAGGCACTTAGGTTAGCAGTGGTACTTGCTTAGGAAACCGAGTGAAGCAGGTTCGAATCTCGAGTCTCGCACCTCTGATATTTTCATGTGCGAATCATTTCCGATATACCAGTTGGCTTACGGCAAAGGAAAACATCGTGAGGAAATCTGTTTGAGAGAAATGTTTGAGAGAAATGTTTGAGAGAACCTAGTTGGTTTTCGAAGGACATGTCTAGTCCACCAACCAGCACTTAGCCAGCGTGGTGGACTATGGCCTAATCTGCCTCGTATTGAAGGGAGGCCCATGCCTAGCAGTAGAACGTTAAAAGAGGCTGAATGCATCAGGTAAGCACCCGAGCAAAGTAAGACTAACTCACTAGTTTCACATTTTAAATGTATAAGATAATTAAAATTCTATTTCAAATCAATTCATGTAATTTATCATCCAAATCTTGTGGTTAGTCTCTTATATTATATTAATGCTTATTTATTTAAGTAATCCAATATTATATGGGCTGGGTATTTGCTTCAAACAAACATAGCATTTAACACAAATATTACATATTACATACTCGTAGTTATACTTATCTATATGATGTCAACGGTTGAAGCGAAGACAAATAGCTTTTAATTAAAGCTTATATTTTATATCTATTATTTGATTCAACTTCTACGGCCTTAATTTTTAACCGACTATAACAAAGGAAGTTCTCTATTCTAAGGTATGTATGAAATTCGATTCCCGATTAAAGCAAATATCTACTTTTGAATTGCCTCTGGCTTGGTCAATTGTGGGTCATTTTTACAAACTCTATTTCTCAACTCCTGTTTTATGCCACATACTTTATGCTTAGCTCATAAATTTTGAACACAAATATAAAAAAAAAACTCTAAAAAGGTAAGTTTCATTAAAACTTTCGTCCCCTATTTTACCCCCTTATGGGATGAATTTCGAAAAATGTTAAAAAACGTATTTAACAAGTAATTCTGATCATAAATATTTTTTTGGGTTATATTATAACATGTTTTCCCATGTTAATAATATAATCTCCCGTGGTAAAGAGTATCCTATATCACTCTCCAGCCCTCCAACTATCTCCACACAAAAAAACACACCAATCCATCACTGTGTATATGTGAAAGAAGTACAAACAAACAAATATTTTTAATAGGTATCAAATTTAAAGTAAAGAAAATCATCCCTAAAAATAATATAACCGATCGCAAAGTTTTAAAGCACTATTTTTGTATGTTAATTTCTTAAAATTTTTATCGTCTACAAAGTTATAACTTTATTACGAACTACTTCAAATTATGAGACACGGCAAGGTGACTCTAACTTTTGTTTTCAAGTCTACAGACTCTAACCACTAGAGAGATTCAGTAACATTTTTAATATTATTTTACTTGCTTGATATTATATTGCAAGGACTTAGGTTTAAACAAAAGTAGCAAATTTATATAAATATAATCGTGTGGCATGGCAGTAAGAATTTTTAAAATAAACGTTTTTATTTATTACTAGCATTGCCCGCGGCTCCACTCCCGTTCAGATGACTAAAAAACCAAATTCATAGGCTTTACATATTAGTATAGGTACTCTTACAATGCAGTTTTTGTATTTTTTCTCATAAATGAGATATTTTCCCGCGGTAAAATGTATCCTATATGTTGACCCGGATAACCAGCTATCATCATACCAAATTTCATCAAAATCTGTCCAATGGTTTTCTCGTGATGCGGTAACAGATAGATAAACAGACAGACCGACAGACAGACAGACGAAAATTCTAAAAACTATAGATTCGGGCTCTGTATCGATAATAATGTCTATTTCAATAAGATTTTCCAAAAAATATTGAATGTACAGATTTGACTTAGTTACAATTTTATTATATGTATAGACTAGCATTGCCATTACATTACATTAATTACATTAATGTATGTTTGAAAGAATAGAGTCAAAATGACCAAGTTATCCTTTGTAATCCTTTAAAGAATACGAAAAATAGTATATTTATTTACAATAAATAAGAGAAGTGTTTTAAATTATTTATTATATGTATATATATATTTATATATTTTTGTATGTCAAATATATTTTTAATTCTATCACTATTGCTATTTATAGTCTATGCTATCCATACTAATATTATAAATGTTAAAGTTAGTTATTTTCTAACAGATTTCGATAAAATTTGTTAAGGACAAAGATTGCATCCTGGGATCGGATATAGGCTTACCTTTGAACCCCGCTCCGCTTATCTCGCGAGCAAAGTTGCAGGCTAAAACTAGTATAAATTATAAAATAGCGCCACGTGAAATGCAGTAAAAATAGCAGCTGCTTTTTTGGATTGACAAATTGAAGTCGTCAGCTCTTGGAGTTAAAATTTGCATATGCCACTGTTGTTTCGAATCATGTCGTTTATTTTTGGCCTAAGTCATGAGAAATAGCGATTTAAAAGAAACATAGATTTTATACGTTATTATTATAAACTTAGTAAAAACTCTTTTAACTATACATTCCATGGTTTAAAAATATTGTTTTTATATTTGTATAAAAATGTTAAATTTGATTGACTCTAGGTGTAGTTTTGGTGTGATCCAGAATTTTTAAAAAACTAGCTATTGCTTCTCTCCTTTGCTCTAAGTTGAAAAAAGACAAACCAATTCGTATGTTTAGTTTTAAAATATACTTAAATATATTAAGAGAAAAGTAGATTTAGTGGAAATAAAATCACAATTTGAAGTCGTCCATAAAATATTATTTCTTTAAATAATGGACTGTTTATTGTTTATAATGATGAAGTGGTATAAAAAGCAGATTTGCTATTTTCTACTGTAACGTAAAAATATTTTTATATTATATATTTAATTTCCATTATAAAATATTTAAAAGTTATGATATATATATACATATATATATATATATATATATATATATATATATATATATATATATATATATATATATATATATATATATATATATATATATATATATATATATTTTAATTTAATTTAAATAACTGGAATTAACCATATTAACTTTATTTCTATAATATTTATTAGGTATACAGATAGATAGACAGATAGATAAATACTTTATTGCACACACAAAAGAAGAGTACAGAAGATGAATAGAAAAATAACAAAGAGGCATGCAAGGGCAGTCTTATATCTATGAGCAATCTATTTATCAGATAATGTATTATTAAATAATACATTATTAAATAATACATAGTGTGTGTATGTATATATGGACGTTTATTTGTTTAAATGGTTTTTTATCCACACAGCACCTCATTATTTTTTTATTCTAGCGCACGAGGGTAGCTAGAATAAATATCTAAAAGAAATAAGTTATATTTTATACAAACTAT